CCCCCACTCCCCAAAAAACACGGAACCAAAACCCTAAGAGCCAGGCTGGGTCTGAGTCTGTGCTAAGGATCCATGTCTCAGATTGCTGTCCCCACCTGCCACATGGTCCGCTTTGGGGCCATTCAGCGTGAGTCGGTGTCCCCAGAAGTGAATGGTTTAAAAAGCTCTGGCAAGAATACTTAGCAAATCTCTTTCCTTCTACCAGCTTATTTTGAAAAGGATGCCTGCTTTTTATTCTGGGGTTCAGTATTCTTTTCTGGCGGTGTTAAGAGAACAAGGAATCAATTTCCCTCTCGTTCTGTAGCTCCCAGAACTCACTGTAGAAGAGAAATGACTGTCCCATGGAGACTACATTGCAATTTTCCAGGAGTGCATAGCTAGATCTCCAAACTCCATTATAGAGTGGGTGCCTTTTGCCTTCCTTTCCTTTAAAGAAGAAAATTGAAGCATTGAGTAGTTGAAATGACTTCTGGGTTCCATAGACAAAAACCAATCAGAAATAGAATCCAGGATTTCTGGGTCGCGTTAATGAACAGACCTAGTTTATTCTCAGCCTCTCACTCTGGTGTTTCGTAATGATTTGCCTGTAATGAGCTAGGAGCTACTTACACTTAGTCATCTCCTGAGAAAGAGGCATTAGAAGTCAGCCACCCTCGCCCGGCATCAGGTGATCTCACCCTCCCTGCAGTGGAGACTGCTTTCTCGAGTCGTCAAGAGTGGGCACGTGGCTCCCAGGCTGTGTTACTCACCCAGGCATCACAAAGGGACTGTGCGGATTCATTTCTCTGCATATCTTAGAAATGGGTGCTCAATGCACTAAAGAATCTGAAGCCGGCGCATGAAGAATGGGCTCGTTTCCTAAATTTGCTTAAAGTTCTTGTTAGACCGATCGTTTCAACTAATAGCAGGACCCTGGCAGGAAACTGGGTGTCAGGTATGAAAAACAGTTATACTCATCCCTTCCGCCTGCCTTTTCCCGAGTTTCCTGCTCCTGCTCTATTCCAGGTGCTTTCTGAGCCCGTTTTCACCGCATGCACAACTATAGCTCCCTCGTCCCACCAAAGAGGTGAGGGAACAGGCGGCGGGGGCTTGGATGATAAAGGCTGGGTGTGTGGCAGTGTGTCGAACTACGAATCAGTGGCCTTCTCTTGGTCATGCCAACCATTTCCCACCATCTTCGACCATTAGGGTGTGGGGAGAACCTCGTGCTCACTGTTCCCACTCTTCTCCAAAACAGAAGAAAAATGGCGGTCCTCACAACGTGCTCCATTGTGTGCAGGGGACCAAGAGTCGCCATGTCTCCTTTTGGTGTGGCCTCCCGCTCCTTCATTCAGTCTGTGGTTTCTCGTTCCCCAGGAGTTGTCTCAGCGTTTCCTGGCTGCCCACCCCTGCAACCAGGTGCCACCTTGTATGAACCGCCTGTCACAACCTTCCACTTTGCCCTGAAAGTCAGCGCAGCCCCTGCTATTACAAGGAGATAGCCCCTAATCCTTGATCCCTGTTCTTACCCAGCCAGCGTCACGGACACCCGGTTCCCCGCTCCGTTCTGCCCGGGAAAGAGGCCAGCAGCCCACACGCCACAGCGCATGAGACGCAGACGCATGATGTGCCCGTCCCCGAGGGAGGACAGACTCCACTAACGCACTCCTTCCCGTGCCCGAGCCCGTGGGGCCCCGTGCGGCCCACTTCCCACATTCCCCAGACTCGGGGACCGACTGCAGGAGGCTTTTGAGTCCCGGGATTATTAACTTTCACCGGGACCGAAGTTCAGCTCCGTTGGTTCAGGTCCTGAGAGGAAGCATCCCTGTGACGGAAGAGGCCGCATGTTCCTTTAGAGCGGCCACCCACCCCAGGCACCAAAGTGCTTCGTTCGACCCCCGATCCCAGAACCACCTGGAAAGGAAGTTGCTCTGAACACTGCCGAGAGGTCGACTGGCTGAAGTCCCAGCACCTCCGTCCCACCTTCGGTCACCCCGCCCGCCCCTGTGGGCCGCGCCCCAGCCGGTCCCCTCCTTGCTTCCAGGGGTGAGCGCACAAGCATTCCCTCTCCCAGCAGGCTGGGGGAGAGAGGGCGCGACAGATTTTTAAGCCAAGTTTCTCCACAAACAGCTCCCAGAAAGAGTGGCATCTCCTGGAAACCCTCAGACTAGACCACACCGGCTACTTAAGAATGTCACATCCCAGAGACCCGCTCGGTTCCTGGCGTGTGGCTCACGGGCTAGGTCCTGCTCGAAGGTGGCCGGAGCAGTGAAGGCGAAGCCCCTCGCTTCCAGGAGGCCCCTGCTGCAGCCCTGCCCCCCACGGGCTCGTGACAGGGGCACAGGGCGCCGGCTCCACTCGCCAGGCCCCTCTCCCGTCTTACTGTTGTCTTCGTCACACAAGTCTCTCGAGATGGTGCCTGAAAAACGTGACTTGTCCATGTGGAATAAAGGACTGGTAAATTTGGACTTGAAAACAGTTTTTACAAACCAGCCAAGAGACTTTTATATGGAGCCTGGTACCTTTTCCCGCCTCCCGACTCTGTAGAGACACAGCTGAAAATAATTAGCTAAAGTCTCCCTAAATGGTGCAGCACAAGGATGTGCATATGATCACCCCACCCCCCCAGAAAAAGCAAAGGTAAAAATGACCCCAACAATCCACCCCCATAATGACAGCAAGTTCGGCGACCCCAGTGGGAAAGTAAGTCCCTCTTCGCAAACCTTTTGGGGGAAGGTTTGGTCCCAGCTGAGAGGTGGGGAATCCAAGGTGGAAAATCTCAAGTGACTCCTTTCAAAGCCAGGCGGTGTTGAAAGAGCCAGAAACGCATCTCAGAACCGCCAAACCACAGCGCCTCTTCAAAGGGCTCCCGTGAAGCTTCCTGAAAGACAGAACGAGCCTCGGTCCCCAGCGAGCGGAAGCCAGCGCCTCTCCAGGGAAATGCCCGGCCAGGGAACTGAGTGCCCGGCCAGAGCCCAGGCTGCAGCGCTGGCCCGGGCGTTTGCTCTCAGCCTCCTTTCTGTTTGCAGGTGGTTTCCGCTGAAGGACGTGATGCTTCGCACTCAGCCCCCTAACCTGGATGTCTCAGCAGTGAAAAGAAACTCAAAGCTCGGAGAAGAGAGGCCGCTTTGCCCACGTGACTGATGTTTCACCAGAGAGCCTGAGCTGCCAGCCAGCAGACCTGCCGGACCTGGGGGCCGGGGGACCACCGACGGAGTGGTCGAAAAGGGCTCTGGTCACAGAGAAGAACTAGAAAGGACAGTATCCCTAGAATGTTCCACCCTAGCCGCCCTCTGAAGAAGAGGCGAGGGTTGACCTTCAAACCTCCCACGCGGACAGGGCAGAGCCACCTTAGGCGGGAGAGGAGAGAGGGGCTGACCCCAGACTCCCGGCACAGAGGCCTCTCGGCCGCTCCGC